CCACGCCTCTAGGAGCACCCACGACCTAGTGGCCATGGACGGCTGGTTGTACGCGGTGGGGGGCAACGATGGCAGCTCCAGCCTCAACTCCATCGAGAAGTATAACCCGAGGACCAACAAGTGGGTGGCCGCGTCCTGCATGTTCACGCGGCGCAGCAGCGTGGGCGCGGCGGTGCTCGAGCTGCTCAACTTCCCGCCGCCCTCTTCACCCACGCTGTCCGTGTCGTCCACCAGCCTTTGAGCCGCCGCGCGGATTGCACAGAGACCCAGCCCCGCGGCCTCCCACATGCCTTAAGCCCCAAGGGGTGGCCCCAGCGCCTCGTGTGTCGGGAGCGGGGTGCTCGACCCCCACCGGGAAAGTCCTGCCCTGTGTGTCCCTGTCTCTCTGCGTCGAGGCTGTCCATTTCTGTGTTCGTTCCTCAGTGTTTGTGTGTGTACCGTTTATTTACTTAATGGTTGGTTTATTCATTGTTTATTGATCGATGAGCAGCGCAGCACCCACCAGTTTACAGTTTCCCCTTGAAGTGTCCTGTGTCTCTGGGACCAAGCTGCCTTCCCCTGAGTCCTGCGGCCCCACTGGGGGCACCAGGGAGAGATGGGTCAGGGGTGAACTCAGACTCTGCAGACCTAGATGGACTGAGGGGCAGATGCAGAGCAGCAGGCCAGGGTTAGTGGGGTGGGGGCTTTCTGCGCAGGTGCAGACCCTTCCAGCCTGGGCTTTGCACACCACCCCTACCATGCCCAGCCAGGCACACTCCCAAGGAAGTCATGAAGCAGCAGGCTTCCTTCTCGTGGGCATGGTGTCTTTTCTGGATCCTGCACTGAGCTGAGCACAAGCGTGCCACAGACCCCACACAGCAATATGAGCCAACTTGAACAATAAACATGTTTCTTGGGCTCTGGGGGCTTGAGGCTGAGTGTACATCTCCACCCTTTGGGGTCCTGCCTGGAATGACCGGGAGGGCGCGGGGACAGGCGTGCGGCTGGGTGAGGCTCTGCGCTGGCAGCTGGGGGCTTTGAGGCAGCATCGTCACATCCAGGTGGGACAGGGAGGTGATGTTGTGGACAAGCACCCGGCCAGGAGTGTGGTTTGCTGTCAGCACGGTCCGGAGAGGCCTTCATGGTCCCATCTCATCATCCCAGGCTCTGGAGAGGGGGGTGGGTGTACACAGCATTACCCCTGCCTCACCGTGATGGTCCTGGGGACACCCAGAAGGTTTGTGGCCTTCTTTCTGGGCATTGGCCAGGGACGGAGAGGTTGGGGGAGGGTCCTGGCTTCCCCTTCCCTAAAGTTGCACACTCCTGTTTCAGCAGCTGGGAGTAAGCACACACCCCCTTAGTCAGTGGTGACTCAATGGCATTTGGGTGGAAACAGGATGTGTGCTCTCAGTGGGGAGGGGTTGTATCAGGCAGGGGAGAGAGGGGGGGATCCTTGGGCTCACGGAGCTCCAGCCCCAGGCAACCCCAACCCGAGTGTTGGCAGGCCACATACTCATAAACCAGGCCTTTGAGGCGACTGCTGTACAGACTGGAGGCCAAGATGGGTGCTCTTGGCTGGACCCCAGGAGAAGACTCTTCCCACACCCCTACCCCCACCCCAACTCCAGCCTAGCCTGTGTGTGTGGAGGACCAGGTCAGAGAGCTGAAAGGCTTGGGCCCAGGGAAGGGTGGGTCCCTCCCAGAAAGGC